CTCAAAACGCTCCAACTGGCTGCAGTTTGTGGCTCTAATAGGGTCAAGTGCGCTCCATGCAGGAGCGTATGAAGGATTTTTCTGGATAGATTCGTTTTCTCGCCAAAAAGTCAAAAGTGCGTTCGCCACTCTGGGATTTTGGGTCGCATCCGCCATGCGGTCTGGGCCGGATGGAGGCGGGCAAGACTTGAAACAGGAAAAACTAGTCTAAATGGTATATTTGCTGTACATTAAACGAGTAGAATCAGCGGCGCTTCTTCGACTGGTGCCTGTCGCCGCTGCTGGATCTCCGCTTCCGGCCCGGCCAGTCTCTGGGCGCCGGCTTCTTCCGCCTGCTTGGGGCCCGCCCGTCGTCACTCTCGCTGCTGCTGTCGTGGCGCTTCACCTTCCGGCTCCCCTTGCGCTCCTGCCGCTCGAGCTTCTCCAGCTTCTTGAGCAGCGCCTTCTTCTGCTTCTTGGTCAGCGCCTTCAGGAACTTGGTCTCGTCGTTCTCCGCCTCCGTCTCGCCCACCAGCAGATGCTTGTTCGCCTCCACCGAGTTGACGTGCTGCTTCTTCAGCGCCAGCCCGTCCTCGAGCATCTGCGCCACCAGGGAGTTCTCGTCCAGGATGGCGGCCGTTTCTAGCGAGCGGGCGGCGCTCATCGACAAACTGTACATCGGACACTCCTTGTCCGTGTTGATGTGGCCCCATTTGTGGCACTTGATGCATCGCACGTTCCGCACCTGGATGCCGAACGGCTGATCGCGGATCTCCTGGTCGCCCTTGCAGTAGCTTTCGCGCGGCGCGTTGTATTTGCGCTGCCACTCGAACTTGTACTCGGGCTCGTCGTCCTCCTTCTCGCGCTCCTTGCGGGCGCCCGGCGGCGGCTCGTACATGAAGTTCACCGCCAGCTTGTCCTTGCTCTCCTTGCTCAGCATCGCCTTGTTGTCGTGCAGGTCCTGCTCCTTCTCGTACTGCTGGCGCAGCTCCTCCTGCTTCTTCTTGTAGGCGTCCGCCTTCTGCTCGGCCATCCACACGCGCTTCAGGTTGTCGCGGGACGCGGGGTGGAAGAACTTTTTGCACATGTAATTGTTGAATCCCTTGCCCATTGTGGCTGTCTGGTTTCGCGCTCCGGGTGATTAGTTTTGACCGTTTTCTGGGGCTCAGATGCTCACTGTAAACACACTGCAAACTGGCGGATGACTCAAGTGACAGTGTCAGTGTCACACTGGCGTTGACGCTGGATAGGCGGCGGTGCCAGCTTGGGCTGGAAGGCGTGGGCCCAGTCGCATTTGCGGGTGGTTTCTTCAATCATTCCGCTCGAATCGTGTTGGTTTGGGTGCATTGGTGCACTTGAGGCATTTGAGCCTTAGTTTGGTCGCCATTAGCTGCAGTTTTGGGGCAAACTGTCGGCAACAGGGCCAGAGACGCATAGTGACAGCGCGGTAGCGCCGTTGCCGCTAGTGTCAATAGCTTTTCTTGCCTGGGCCACGCCTTTTTTGCAGATAAGTTCTGCGGGTTTTTTCCTTGCTGAAATTTGATTGTCATTAGTTTCTCGTAATCGTTTTTCAATGAAATTTTTGCATTTTTTTCCAATTTTTGCAAAAGTTTTCCACTAATTTTCCTAGGAGATTTTGGTTATTTTTCTTTTTTAGTTTTATAATTTTTGCAATTTTTTAGAGGCCGCTACGACTTTTTTGCTTTTGTTTCCAGTTTTTTCCAAATTTTGTTTTTGGGTTTTTGCGTAATTTTCGCCACGTCTGTTTTGCGTTTGATTCTATATTTTTTTGCATTTTAGTTTTTTTTGCCAATTTTTGCAAATTTTTTTCGTGACTGCGCCACGCCTTTTTTGTAGGTATGTTCTTCGGGTTTTTTCAACCAATTTTCCTTCGGGATTTTGAGTTTTTTTGGTCATTTTCTTTTTTTCACTTGTTTTGCAATTTTTGCAAAAGTTTTTCACTAATATTGTTGAGGGATTTTGGTCTTTTTGTGCAATTTTTCTTTTTTAGTTGTTTTACAATTTTTGCAATTATTTTGTGACCGCCA